CAGCTGCCCCCCACCCCCGCCCTTGCATCTCGATCCACTGAGAGGTGCTGCCTCTGTTCCAGATAGGTGTGGCTACTTCACTTCCAATAGAAATGTATATGTTTAGTCTTAAAGGGCACCTTAATTTTGTATAGCTGGTTGCTTATGGTCTCTTCTGGTCAAGCAAGGTATTACAACTGGAGAGTGCAATAGTTGCAAATATTGAAAAAATATCCATATTGCTTTAAAAATCTCAGTGGTCAAATTTTGAAATAGATAAATCCTTTCAAAGACTGTTTTCAGCATAAGAAAAAATGCTTTTAATTAACCTTAATGCTGTTAGAGTTCTTAAATATTTTATGTATGCTACACCTGTCCTTTGAAGCCTCCTATGTTCCAGCGCATTTGAAGACTTTTATGAAAAAAAAAAAAAAAGTGTATACACGAGATTAAATTTTAGCAATTCTAATTTAGGAGAATTGAACTGCTCACTTTTGAGATAACAAGCTACTTCCACTATTACTAGAAATGTTTGAGAGCAATTATAATTCATATTTCCCTATTTATAGTATTATTCATCAGTAAAATAATGAAACTGCTTTAAAAATGTATTAGAACTTGAACATTTCCAAATGTACTGGTCCATTTCACACAGCTACCTTAGAACCATGCTATCATTGTACAAAAGTTTCAGAAGTGCTCTTGAAGACTGCTGCTTCCTTTTTAGGTCTGTAATAATAGCAGGTCTTTACCATCTAAGGATGAATTTAAATTTTGGAAATCATCAAAAATCATTTAGAGCTAATTATGCTCAATGAAAATTGTCATCAAGCAAAGCAAAATTGCAGTATTGTTTAGAGAAGAGTTTTAAAGATAGCACACCATGAACCAGAGCAGTTTGATGGTAAACACGATAATCAATGAGACCTCCAACAGGACTAAAGGCTCAAAATAGGATGAAAACTAACAGATTTCAACTCTGGCTTCACTTCAGAATAAGTTGAGTAGTATTTAAAATATATAGCTACTAAGACCGTTTGCGGTTTTTAAATTTAATCTTAAGTGTCAGCATATTTTTGAGAACTTTTATTATGAATAAAGTTGATTCAGCGTGGTTACCTTTGGGAAAAGTTTTTTTGTTTGTTTTTTGCTAGCTAATATCAATATTAGGTGTGAAACGGTTAAGAGTTAAATCTCTTAGCTGCACAGAGAGGTCAGAGCACAGCAGTCAATTACTACATGGTTCAAGTTCAGGTACAAAGAGGCTTCTGATGCCGCATTTCATCCTACTTGCTTTCCCACTTTCTAGAGGATGCCTAAACAAACATTAACGTTTCATCACTTTAGTCCTTCATTTGTTGACCTGTTTAAGAAACGATGTATCTTTGGCGATGGGACATACCACTTTCATCTATTATTAGAATACACAGTCATACACCCACACAACAAACACACACCTAAACAGGTTATGTGAATCAAGCATCTGAGAAGTGCTTTTGCTGGAAGAACGTAGACGGAGAACAAATTAAAACAAGAATCCAAGAAGAAACTGATAAGAAATTTAACACCATCAAAGGAAGGAAAGCGTTATAGGAGGTTATGGACTTCCACAACAAATAGGCTTCAAAATTCTTTCCAATTTTAGACTGTATATATAACTAATTTTAAAAATATTTACTTAAGATTGAAATACAATCAACATTAGAGAAGGTTCAACAAATTCTCATATTCTTAAGAGGACAGTTCGGCATACACATTTTACTTCTTTGTCAAATTTAGTCAGTTTCTTCTCCATGTACCCTTTTAAATATTTCATATGTTTTCCTATTTTTTTATTTAAACTTCCCCTTGCAAAAGTGCAAATTTACTTTTACTTTAATATTTAATAGCTCTGTATTTTATTTTCACAAGTAAGGTGTTTTAAAAGTTATAGGCCTGATATATTTAGCCATTTAATTTATAAGAACATTATTAATCATCTATGTTTCTAATTATGATTTGTGACATCTCCTAAGTTTCTATCTTAGATGAAAATAAAAATATCCCCCTTTATTCCGTTCCTGCCATCCCTGGTCTCCTACACAGAGGAATTATCTTATGTCTACTTGGAATCACAAGAATAAAATATTTCAAGATCACTCCCACTTCTATCCATACCTGAAAATAGCTGGTATCAAACTTACCCTCACTATAAACAGTCCATTACCTAGGGAAAAAAAAATTATGTAGCAATTGTTCTCAGTCATAGGGCAATAGGTAGGAAAGACCGTAATAATATGCTTTGTATGTGTAGAACCTGTTTATTTTGATGTTATAAAGAAAAGCCTTCTTCCACTTCAACGTAATTTAGTGTCCTTTTCTTTCAAACTTTTGAATGTTAAAGAACTTGTAAATGCATCTTTTCTTTGGACTATGTCCTCCTTTCCAGTTCCATCTTAATGGCCTGAAGAACATTGGTATCAATTGTTCATGGTTATCCTCAACTCTATGGACATGTAATAATGCTTTGATCTTTGTTTGCAAAAGAAAATGGCCTATTTACAAAGTTAGAACATTATGTCCAGAATCTTTAGTGATTACTTTGCTACTACTCTATCATATTTTAGTTTTCATACAGGATTTACTCTTTAACAATATTTTTATATAAAAATGAAAATGAATACCATGCCTGACATGCTCATGAAAAGTAAGCCCATACGCTATTTATCTCATTTTAACTTATTTTTCTCATTTAAATAGGAAAAAAATTGTTACCATTAAAAGCCATTTTTCACTATTTTCAGTTCCATTAAAAATTTAAAAAATCCTATCAAAATGATGCATACAGGTTTCCCTTTGAGCTTTTAAGTGTCTATAATAAAGAACATTTCAAGGCAAAACAAAAATGTCAAAGAGTACTAGTTTTAGTAGACTAAAACTCTTAAATTTGCATGTTTTATATCACTATATATACACCTGAGGTCTGACATGCAATATATACACTCATCTTGAACATTCTGGAATGTGGAGTGATTGATCACCTAGTAGCTCTACATTTAAGACAGGAGAAACTTGTATATGCAAATACAGTTCATCTGAAGCACTGATGTAATGTTCTCAAGTTACCCAAAAAATGATTTGTAGTATATTTTTAGAATGAAGTTCATTTTATTTACTAATTCTTCAAAAATATTGATTATCTCTCAAATAACTGGACACTCCGATTAAGTACCTAACATTATTAATGCTTACAAGAGAATATTCCACAATTTTCAATACTCCTTTCATTGAAAGTATTATTTAGAGCTTCTACACTTACGTAGGGTATTATAATTTGTAACACATTATATATACATACACATGTACAAATATACATGTATGAACAAATGTTTTTGCTCTTTTTAGCTTAAACACCTTTATCTTCATATATGTATATATCATGTGTATGTATGTATATGTGCTTGTGTGTACATAAAATATATACACAATGATGACACAGGACTTATTTTCAGTATGCCTTTAGAATTGAGTGCATTTTAGTAAAATGTGCATTTCGTTAGAGCTTATATATATATAAATTAGTTTATATAAATATATTTAATATATATTTATATATATATACATGCAATTCACTGGCAAGAAATATTTAACAAACCAGAAGAATAAGCTATAATACTGATTTTTATAGAACTGTATATTTATAGAGTCTTTCTACACATTTTGTATCATTTAACCATGTCTTGATATTTCATAAGACAAAGTAGATATAATGTGCATTTCCAATTACTGATGCAGTTATTTCTGTGCTTTAGTATTCTTTTGGAAAGAGAAGTGGCACTCTGGGAAGCCACATGACATATGTTAGGTAACAAAGAGATCATTTAGTAATTTGAAGCATTTGTTTTTCACTCTGTGTCATCATCTATCCTATGATCCAAGAAACAATATAATAGATAAAAAATTAGCGATCTTTTATACTCTCTCCTAAATTCCACATCCACTTCAAACATATGAGGATCCTGATAACTTATAAACACATCTCACAGGAGTGCATCAGCTGCACTATGATCACTCCTGAGGCATAGAAATTATAACAGGATTTGCCATGTCCCTATAATTGGCAGAGTAATCTTTCACTATTATCAATCCTAATCCAGTATTCTATAGGTAATTCTAATACAATGCTTAAGAGTACTATGAAATAACTAGTACCACCTGCATTCCTGAAAAATAGGACCAGCAACCCCTCATGATGGTTCTGAGATGCCTTGAGAATACAATGGAAGCTATTTATCTTCTCTTCAGAATTATATTACAAACAGAAAGTTGCATAGCATTTAAAGATGCCCCGAGGTTCCTACGATAATGGGAGCATCTTTATGACCACTGAGCTTTCAAGACATGTGGTGGATTTACCAGCTGAACTATATCCAGTCAAGTAATGCCTCAGAAAATGTTTCTCTCAGAAATTTTGATCTTATCTTAAGCTCAAATTAAACGGTATCTTTTGATGGCTTTCTCTCTCCTTTTCCCACCCACATTTGAACCTCAGGAGAAACCTGCCCCAGTAGCAGACATTCACATACCAATGTTTTAGGAGAATTAAAACTCACTACCTAAAATAGTGAAGATAAAAATGGAAGTAAAAAATAGAAAACTTTATTTTTTAAAATATCTGGGGAGAATTTAAAGTTTCACTTCTAGGGAAAACTTTTATTTGTGGGATAAGTATTTTTGTACTAAAATTCAAAGGCAGATTGCACTGGAGACCCCAGCAGAGAAAGGGAGATAGAAATTCCACTGGAGAGAGATTGGCAACTATTTACTTTGCTTGTATGTTTTAGGTTTCATGGAGGAATGCAAAATACTGAAGAAAGGATAAAGCGTAGAATTTGAATAATGCTAATGAAATAAAACTTCTTCTAAGTACCCCTAAATTAAGATACTGATTATCACCTTATTAAAATTCTCCAGAGAAACAGAACAGTACGTATGTGTGTGTGTATGTATATATGAAGAGAGATTATACAAAATTGGCTTACATGATTTCAAGATCTGCAGTGGGCAGGCTGGGCATCCAAAGGAGCTGATTGGGGAGTTCCAGTCTTTAAACTGGCAAGCTTGAAATCTAGGCAGAGACCACGTTTCAACTTGAGACTGAAGGCAGAAAAAAAACCCATGTACATTAATCTCATCCAGAAACACCTTCACAGACACACCCAGAATAATGTTTAACCAAGTATCTGGGCACCCCATGGTCTGTACAAGCTGACACATGAAATTAACCTTTATACTCTCTGTAACTTAAAGTCTTCCTGTGCATTCCTTTGTGATGTTTCTCTGCCTAATCCTGAGAGAAAAATCAACGGTCAGATTTTTAAAGATAATTTTGCCTGTTCCCTAATGTTACTAAATATATTCTGTAAGTTTATTTTTCCCAGTATTTGTATGTTTTATACATATTGATTCTTGAAACTATAGTCAATTTTCATTGCTGTGCAGTATTCTAACATACCACCTTTTACTAAGAATTCTGCTGTTGCTACACATTTGAAAAATTTTCAATTTTTCATTGAAAATTGTATGTTTAAGTGTTCCAACTTAAGAATAAATCTGCTATCACCATCCTTGTACCTTCTGATGTCCATGCAATTATAAGGTTTTAACTGTAGACTTAGTGGATCATAGGTTATATGAAACTTCAACTTGTATACAGGATGTCTCTGTAAGTCATTTTCTGGAATATTTTGTTAAAACGATCCACTTGTCCAGCATTGTACAAGACTGCCCTGTTTTAATCACAGTATCTATAGTAAATATTAATAGCTGAAAGTAAGACTATTTCAGTTGTGGCCTTCCCCTCAAAGATCCTTTTGGCTATTCTTGATCCTTTAAATGTTCATATACATTTTAGAAGAACTTTAAAAATCTTGTTGGGATTTTGATTGAGGTTTCATTGAGTCCACAGGTGCATTTGGATACAATTGATATTTATAGCACTAATGCATCCAAACCATAAAAACAATCCATCTGTCCATTTTTTAATATTTAACAAAAATTTTTATGCAGATTTTCTTCTTAGGTTTGTTTCTTGATACATTATTTTGGTGATTATATATATTTATTTATTTTTAGATATTTTATTTATTTATTTGCCAGAGAGAGGGAGCACAGCAGGGGGAGCTGCAGAGGAAGAGGGAGAAGCAGGCTCCCCGAGGAGCAGGGAGCCCGATGCAGGGCTTGATCCCAGAACCCCAGGATCATGACCTGAGCCGAACGCAGACGCTTAACCCACTGATCCACCCAGGTGCGCCTACAGTCAGTTTTGAAACAAATACCACACATGTATATCACACCCTCTTTTCTCAGCATGTGCCTTTTGATTCACCAGCCAGGAGTCCCCATTTAGGATCAAGGGATCTACAAAGAACACTCAGTGGTAGGTAAAATTTGGAGAAAAGAGTTCTTGGTGCCAAAGTTTCAGGAGCACTACAATGGCATATAATATCTGATTTTACTTCTACTGAGGATAGTTGGTGTTATGTCAAAGTTGCAACATTCTCCCTGGGTCAACTCTGGTATTATTTTTCTTTTTAAAGATTTGCCTGCATAGCCATAAACTCAGTTCTCCAGGACTCAAAAGAGCATCTTGAGCTACTTGATACAATTTTATTAAATTTTTCATTTCCTTATGTCAGAGTTGGTTTCTGTGATTTGTAACCAAGCATCCTAAATGATATAACTTAGCACCTCCAGACACCTCACACTCCCTGCACCCTGATCCACACACTTTCACTCCTCTTCCCCCTCTGACCCTTCTTCTTGTCTGAATCCATGCCCTCCTAGGACTTTGCTCTTGCCAATATCCTCTTTGTTATAATCCTTAATTCCATCTACCTATTGCATTAGAATTGGCCCATCAGATCAAAAACAGGTTTTTGTTTTTAAGATTTTTTATTAGAGAGGGAGAGCGCATGCGCAAGAGAGCATGAGCGGGCTAAGAGGCAGAGGGAGAAGCAGACTCCCCACTGAGCAGGGAGTCTGATGCAGGGCTCAGTCTGGGACTCCAGGATCATGACCTGAGCCGAAGGCAGATGCTTTACCAACTAAGCCACCCAGGCACTTAAAAAAAAAGACACGTTCTGCATGGAGCACTGGGTATTATACGCAAACAATGAATCATGGAACACTACATCAAAAACTAATGATGTAATGTATGGTGATTAACATAACATAATAATAATTAAAAAAAAAACCTGAACCAGAGGATCCAATCAAGCTACACTCAGATTCCTGACCCACAGAAACTGTGAGATAATAAATGTTGTTTTAAGCCACTAAAAAAAAAAAAAGAAAGAAAGAAAAGAAATCTTATGCCATCATATCTCCACCCGGTTACTTTTCTATTACTCTGTTTACCCTCATAACAAAGCACTTCAAGAAATATTCTCGACTTGGGGTATTTATTTATTCATCTCCCAGTTGTTCTTCAGCCAATTTCAATCAAGCTTTCATACCAGCAATTTTAATGAGACCTCTCTTCAAGGTCACCAATCATTACCCTGTGCTGTAGGCAAAGAAAAAAATCCCCCGATTTCTTCTTAGGGAATATTATCAGTAACCACTCCCTTCTTGAAAAAACTTTTCGTGGTTTTGGCAATAAATTTTCCTAGGTCAGTGGTCATTTTTTCTAATCTTTTCTTGTTACTTCTCTATCATACTTCTAATTCTTGTAGTTTCTTTGCCTGGCACAGGCTTCCCCTCTATTTCTACATGGCTACTTTTTTCCTTTTTTATTTCTAATACTATGGGTTACCCATCCAGTATTACTTTCTATAATATTGTCCACTTTTTTTTTCTTCACATAATTTTAACAGTAATGAGATATATTTTTAATCTTTTAAACCTGTACTTAGGTGCATTCATTATCTCCAATTTCTACAAGTTAAGGTCTTAGAGTTTTATCATTAGTATTTTCAGAGACTGAAACCTGTGGCACACAAAAGCCAGGTGTATATATATCAATATTAACAAAGCAAATTCTGTGTCAGTTATTTGTAATTAATTCATCCTAACACCCATTTGACAACATGTAAAGTCAAAAATAACACTGAAGGGGCGCCGGCTGAGTTGTTAAGCGTCTGCCTTCGACTCAGGTCATGATCCCAGGTTCCTGGGATCGAGTCTCACATTGGGCTCCCCGTTCAGCGGGGAATCGACTTTTCCCTCTCCCTCTCCCCCTGCTTGTGTTCCCTCTCTCTCTCTGACAAATAAATAAAATCTTAAAAAAAAAATAACACTGAAAACTCAGCTATCATCTTTTCAGTAGAACTGAATATTTCATAAAACCAGTCTTACTCCCAAACAAGTAATAATAGTTAAATATATATATTCCTCTAAACATTCAGTTTGCACGATCAAACAATTTCAAAAATGTTGCATAACACACACACCTCTTAGAAAGTCCCTATTCAAATTATTAAAATATCTGCAGATATAGGAATTGGAAAAAAACCTTATTTATTTTCTCTTAGATTGTATCAACACTTCATATTCTAGTTTAACTCATTTCTGGCTTTGGGCCATATTTCTTTGTATTTCTTTTAGTGGTTTTAGGGATTACAAAACATATACGTCACTTTTCACAGACTACTTGAAGTTAATTTTATACCACGTCAAGTAAAGAAGCCTTAGAACCGCGTATCTCTCTTTCCCTCACTTAGGTTGTAATTTTCACATGTAATCTGTATCTGTAATCATTAAAGTTCCACTACAAGCTTTATATATCATGCTTTCAACAGGCATACACATTTTCTCAAAGTTAAAAAGAGAAAATACTAAACTTACCCAGGTATTTACTACTTTTCTTGTTTCTCCTTTATTCCTAAAGTTCCAATTTCCCTCTGGTACTATTTCATTTCAGCCTGAAGAACTTGCTTTAGCATTTCTTTTAGAGCATGTTTACTATCAAAAAAATTACCATAGTTTTCCTTCATTTAGAATGACTTCATTTTATCTCATTCGGGAAGAACATTTTCATTGGCTATAGAATTGTAGGCTGACAGTTCTTTTTTTACAGCACTTTTTAGATGCTCCCCTCTTCTTCCCTCTCTGGTTGTTGGTTTGCAAACTGGCCCCTGTGCCTAGAAGGCACAGAAACTGAAGGAAGAGGCAAACCATTCCAGATTGGTAGGTGGCAGGTCTAACCAGCAAGGGAACTCACACAAACAACTTGTCTCGAGCGGCCTCAGGACAAGTAGATCTCTACAGGCAATCACCGGACTCTTAACGTTTATATAGAGGCCTTAAGGAGGTTTAGTCACGTAAACCTCCAGGCGATCTCAATATCATATTGTTCTCTCAAGTCTTTGGCCTTGCAAATGGCTCCAGGTGTGGGAATGATGGGCCACACCTTTATTCCCAGGAGAGGTAAGGAGTGCAGAGACTCCAACTGCCCCTTCTAGCTCAAAGGTCAACCAGCGGTCATGTCCTCTCAATGACCTCTTCCAACAATGGTTACTGACAAGAAATCCAAGGTTATTTAACTTTTTGGTTTTTTGTATGTATTGTGCTGTTTTTCTCTGGCTTTTCTTTACTTTGGTTTTCAGTCCTCTGATAATATTGTCTGGTCGTGATTTTGTTGAGTTTTTCCCTTGTGGAGCTTGTTGAGTTCCTTAAAAATTTTGCCTTTTTTAGAATGTCATATAATTGAAATCATTTGATATGTAGACTTTCCGATTGGCTTCTTTCACTGAATAATATGCATTTAAGTTTCCTCCATGTCTTTTCATGGCATGGAGGCTCATTTCTTTTTAGCTCTGAATAATAGTCTATTGTCTGAATATACCACAGTTTGTTTATCCATTCACTTACTGACAAACATCTTGGTTGCTTCCAAGTTCGGGTAATAATGAATAAAGCTGCTCTAAACATCCATGTGCAGGATTTTGTGTGGACGTAAGTTATTGGCTCCTTTGGGACATACCAAGGAACACAATTGCTGGAATGTATGGTAAGAGCATGTTTAGTTTTGCAAGAAACCACCAATCTGTCTTCCAAAGTGAATGTACCCACTTTCATTCCCACCAGCAATGAAGAGTTACTGTTGCTCCACATTCTCAACAGTATTGGATGTTGTCAGTGTTCGATAAATCCATTCACTTTGCTCTGTAATAACCATTTTGACAACCATCTCATAGTAGGTAAACTAGTTAGATGACTTGCCTCAATTCTTATCCATTAGAGACAGGTTGGGCTGAAAATGCCCAATTTTTTGTTTTATTTGATGACTATTCAAAGGAAACAATCTTTATAGAATGCTTCTTTCAAAAATCAAGGGCATATATTATAACAGCTAGTCCTGTGTAAAAAACACAATGAGAGGTAATGAGGAGGTATGAGTGATATAAAATGTCCCCATTGTCAAAAAAAGCTAAAAGTTTCTCCACAATCCTGCCATAGGTCTTAAAGATTTATCTATCTATTCATTCATTTATTCCATGTATTCATTTTTAAAATACAACCATTTTTCATGTTACATTTTCATATCACCTGCAGAAGTAGAAGGAAGCTTATGGTTGTTATTAACCAGCTTTTGGGTTAGCAGATAGGAGGGCCATAAAAAGGAAAATGGAAAGAAACAACAAATGCATTGACTGCAATAAGAGATAAGGGAGAAAAGCTGAAAGCCAGTGATACTGCTGCAGAAGAGATCTGCCTGGCTCCACGGCTTAAGTTGGGGCTGGCCAGGTTGGGAGGTAGCCTCTGGGAGGTAGAAATGACCTATACAGTCTGGAGACAATTACCTTTCTGGAAGTCAGTGGAAAGGAAGTTTTTTTTTCCAGAGTTTTTTTTCTTGGTTGCATTAAATGTGAAACAGAGAAACTACTACCACTTACTCAGGATTGTTCTGAAGATTAAACAGGTGTATAAAGTGGTAAAAGAGTGATGAACATAAAATAAATTCCCAATAAATAGCATTTAGAATAGTAGTTCTTAAATTCTTTTGTCTAAACACTTAGTTTCACAGAAATATGAATGGTAATGCATGTCTTAGGTATATATTGAACATTTTTTGAAACAGGACTTGCAAATGTCAACATGACGCTTATAGACACCAAAGCCTTCAGATTTGGACTCCTTAGGACTAGGCTGGGGTACTATTTTAATTAAGATCAGGCTCGGAGGGGAGACGAACCGTGAGAGACTATGGACTCTGAAAAAACTGAGGGTTCTAGAGGGGAGGGGGGTGGGGGGATGGGTTAGCCCGGTGATGGGTATTAAAGAGGGCACGTACTGCATGGAGCACTGGGTGTTATACACAAACAATGAATCATGGAACACTACATCAAAAACTAATGATGTAATGTATGGTGATTAATATAACAAAATAAAAAAAAGATCATATATATTAAAATAATATAGGCAAATAGTTACCACCTATTACATGACCTGGATATTCAAATCAGTATGTACTTATATTTGGTTTTGTCTCCGTGATATGGACACAGGTCACAAATGGCAAGTTGCACACTAGTTCTATGATTATTGTTCCACAAAGTATTGGTCCAGAGAACATTGTTGTTTTTTCCTTCCTTTCTTTCTTTTAAATAAAATCTAATTAGATTTTAATACTTACAACTGGGGAACTTTGTGCAAATTTATTTCCATATCTTGAAAAATCTGGGACTGCATCCTTAGATGACTCCAGTTTCAATGGGCTGTGTCAGTGGCCTGCTTGAGATGGAGCCTGCAATCTCCGAATCTCTAATTAATTACAATCCTTCTACTCTCCCTTGTTTCCACTACACTGAACAAGCGTGTCAGTCTCCTTTATTCATCCAGTTTTCACTCTCTTATTTTGTCCACACATGACTCTTATAAAATATACACATATCTACACACATGACACACACTCACACACTAACGCCAAGGTTTTCAATTGTGAAGTCATAACCCTAAGGAAAAAGAAATAAACTTAGTCTCCATTTACATTTCCTTGCCTCCTACTTGATTTAGACAGAATATTACTATAAACATCTAAGCCTAATATTGATTAATAGGCCATTGCTTCTCAAAGTTTAATGTGCATGTGAATCTCCTAAGGATCTCATTAAAATGCAAATTATCATTCCATAAGGCTGGAGAAGGCATGAGACTCTACATTTCCAATCAATTCCCAAATAAAGTTGATACTGGGGTCTGAAGAGCATACTTTGTGTGGCAAGGGGCCTGCAGGGTCTTCCTCCAACAGTAGTGTGTTGTTCGAAATAAACCAATTGAGAAAGCTCTCTATTCTATGAGAGATTTTATGAAGATATAAGTATAAGGCAATTTTCTTTTTTTTCTGAAGGAAATCCTTTCTTAATTATTTGAACAAATACAGTTATTTCTAGCAGATCCTGACGGATGCACATTGATTGACAGCTACATAGATCTAGAAAATACAAATATTTGTATACATTTTAGAACGAATCATGAAGGACCTAGAATTTGGTATGTCAATTCATGATTCTCCAGTTAGTACATCTGTTGCAACTAAGACTTTAGCTCTGGATACTGGCTAAAGTAGAAGATAAGCAAGGAAGCTCCATCTAACAAGTCAGTGGATTCTGAAATTCATCTTTTTTGCCTTTAGTCACTAGGTCTAATTTCCAAATCACACTGTTCCTGGATAAGACCCAACCATGAACATACAGAGTAGTCTTCAGCCTTTGTTGTAACCACTCGTATGTGAGCCTGGTCTATGTCTGTCTTTATTTACTTCATCACCTATTCTTTCAAATATTTGACAGGGACTACTGTGTTCCAGGTACTGAGGATATAAAGCAGAGTAAGACATAATATTTATCCCCTAACGTCTCCCAGCCTGGTTAACAGGCCCAAGTTGAGCTCTGCTAGCCACCTGCCTGGAGATGGTAACTTTGCCTGGGCCCCACCAGTCCCTTTCCCCAGGGACTATTCTCTTGTATTTCAACACCCGGGGGTTCCATTCCACATACTGTGGACCACCTTGAACATTAAAACTCTTATTTTGAATATTTTCAACACCTAATACAGACTTCTATTGCCATTTACTATCCCCAGATAATGTCTTTCGTGACAGAAATCCTCACCCAATCAGATACACATTTTAATATCACATGTGTTTGGAATCTCTATTTTAGGCCAGTGGCACCCTCTTAAGGTGTAAGCTTCAGAGTCCCATTAGGCATGGCCTTAACTATTCCTGACTCCCTCTTCATCTCTGTCTCTGTCACAACTAAGCCATGTAATAACTGAAGGACAAGGTGGGAGTGAAAACTGACCCTTTTTAAAGTTCTCCCATCTTGGATGTTTTGTCATATTGCAAAGACAGTGTAACAGTTCCCTCCTTGTTTTTATCTTCCGGTTTTTTCTCTCCTGATAAAGGAGAAAATCCTACTTCATCCACTGTACTTAGAATCCTGAAATTAACCACAGTATGCTAATAGTCATAACTATACGTAGATTACAAAATCTGCATGTATATGAAACAAGAAGAGGACAGGGGAAGGGACAGGGTGTAGATTTTTGATCCTAATTTGGTGAAACTCTTCTCACTTGAGCCCTTTGAATACCCTTATACATGCACCATTTTCTCTCTCATGGTCACATAATGTTTTATATTATATAAAAGTTATATGAATATATTTTATCCCTGGGTGCATTTCAGTACCTTTAGTCAAGTGTTACCGGGTAAAATAGAAGCACTTTGAAGGACTGGGATAGGCTGAATTTGGTGCTTATTTACCAGAGTGAGAGGGACTTTCCTGAAGCACACACACAAGTGTTCAGACATCAAATGAAAGATTTTAGGGTTGGTAAGAAGGATAATATTTGAGCTACTTATAAAGCAGGACTTGCACACATTTGCTCTTGGGTTTTGAAGAAGAAACGAATTTTTTCTTATATATATTGTATGTAAGAAGCGAATTCTTATATACAATATATATTTCTTTACAGAGCACTTACTGTTCCCCGAGTTAAAAATAAGGAATTGGAAGAATGAAAATTAGTCTTCATCATTTTCTTTCTTTGTTTTTTACTCTATCAGCCTTTATATTATTTTCTAATATTGTT